AAGGTTACAACGGCACTGAAACAAGTGACTTATGACCATTTTCACATTTACAACCTTTGTAGCTGCCTCACGATCATGTGATCAAAATTCAGACACTTGGCAATTGGTTCATACTTACGACCGTTCCCTTGTCCCAAGGTCATGTGATCCTCCTTCAGGACCTTCTGACCTGCAAAGTCAATGGGGAAGCCAGATTCACTTAACAATCGTGTTATTAACTTATGAACTGCAGTGATCCACTTAACAAATGTGGCAAGAAAGGTGGGACAAAACTCATTTAACATACCGTATATACTCGAGTATAAGTCGACCCGAATATAAGCCGAGGCACCTAATTCTACACAAAAAAACTGGGAAAACTTATTGACTCGAGTATAAGCCGAGGGTGGGAAATGCAGCAGCTACTGGTAAATTTCAAAAATAAAAATAATTAATTTGGGAAACGATCTCACTATCATGAAAGGTTTAATTGATTCACTAACCCAAAAGAAGAAGATGATGATGACAGCGGGAGGCAGGAGTCACTCTCTTCCCCTCCCTCGGAGGCCCCCTGAGTCAGGAGTCACTACCGCCGGCGCGGCCCCAGTCCCGCCGCCTCGGGAAGGGAAAGGCAAAGCACTTTTTGCCTTTCCCTTCCCGGCTGGGGCTGTTGGGAGTCGCTGCCGCCGGAGGCCGCGACTCCACACCATTTTTTTTTTCAGAGGGGAATCTGACTCGAGTATAAGCCGAGGGGGATTTTTTCAGCACAAAAAATGGGCTGAAAAACTAGGCTTATACTCGAGTATATACAGTAAATTTTGGGCTCAATTGTCCTTGTAAGTCGAGGACTACCTGTATAGGTAAAGGTAAAGGTTCCCCTCGCACATACATGCTAGTCATTTCCGGCTCTAGGGGCTGCTGCTCATCTCCGTTACAAAGCCAAAGAGCCAGCACTGTCCAAAGACATCTCCGTGGTCATGTGGCCGGCATGACTAAACGCTGAAGATTCACGGAACGCTGTTACCTTCCCACCAAAGTGATCCCTATTTTTCTACCTTCATTTTTTTACATGCTTTCAAACTGCTAGGTTGGCAGAACCTGGGGCAAGTAGAATAGAACAGAATTCTTTATTGGCCAAGTGTGATTGGACACACAAGGAATTTGCCCCAAGACAACAGGAGCTTACTCCATTAGGCGGCGCTAGGGATTCAAACCCCCGAACTGCCAACCTTTTTGATCGACAAGGTCAGCATCTTAGCCACTGAGCCACTGCGTCCCTACTACCTGTATACCAGAATGCAATCCTCCATTGGACTTATATCAGTCCAAGGTTTCTAGATACATTAGCTTCGGTGAGAAAACAATTTCCTCCAAATGTTGTGAACTTCCATTCCTTTCTCAGCCAATACAGGTAGTCCTCAACTTGCGACCACAATTGAGCCCAGAATTTCTGCTGCTGAGTGAGACATTTGGTAAGACATTTGCCTCTCTGTATGACCTTTCTTGCCAGAGCTGTTAAGTGAATCACTGCAGTTAGTAAGTTTATAACACGACTGTTAAGTGAATGTGACTTCCCCATATCAGAAAGTCGCAAAAGGGGATCTCATATGACCCAAGACATTGCAACCGTCATACATATGAGTCAGTTGCCAAGGGCCTGGACTTTGAACACATGACCATGGGGATGCTGCAGCGGTCATAAGTGTGAAAAATGGTATAAATCATAAACCAAATTCACAGGTAGTCCTCAGATAGCTGTAATTGGGACCAGGAACTTTGTCACTATTGCAGTGAGATTGTAAAATAAAAATCATATGACTGTGCCAACTTACAACAGCAATTAAGTGCAACGTCATGCGACAGCTGATGGCTTCCCCATTGACCTTACTTCTCAGAAGCCGGCAATAAAGGTCACAAATAATGAGCACATGACTATGGCTTATTGTAATCATTGTAACTGTGCAGTGGTGGCTAAACATCCCAATCATGATCTCTGATGGCTGCAGTTTTGAGGACCATCTATAAGTCTCACTCAGCACCATTGTGACTTTGAGCAGTTGGGGAGTGTTGCTAAGTTAGGGCAACCTGTATTTCTATTGGGTTATTAGAGGGGCCTTGTGGCTTGGCTTTGATTGGCTAATCTAATTTGCTAATCTATCTATCATCCAGGTGAATGCTAGGAGTAAGCTTTTAAAACCGCATTCTTCAAACAGATATTGGACTGAAGTTATATTTTCAGTTTAGTAAGATTGATCACAATGCATTGATTATTGCTATTAATAATTTAGTAGTAGTGGTAATACTAGTAAAATTTGAGCTAGAAAATACATTGTACTGTACAGAACTTGTGCTGCAAGCAACAAATCAAGCTAAATACCCATAGAGTTACATCCAATTCAAAAGGTATTGTGAGTCACCACATCTTGTCCTGAGGTTAGAAATTCTTCCTTAATTTTATGGTATTAAAGATCATTCTTAGATTGTTGCTGAAGGCATATATCCTTAATTGTTGCCTTTGGAGAAAAAAGGGAGTCCCTTTGGCATATTAAAGGCTAACACACTGACTGCAGCCTGATGTTTATGTCTAATATAAACTACATTATTGGGTTCAAGAAAGATTTTCTTTAATTTTAGCATATTTCTTTGAGTGTGTGCACGTGCTCCCATACAGATATATACATATAGCCCATTAGTTGACAGAATGATAAATACTGAGGGTAAAGGATAATACAAAAAACAATGCTATCATAACATTTTGTTAATTAATGTTAGATAGTTTGTAAACATATAAAGCCCCATTGGTTTGTTTTAGATACCCAGGAGACCTCAAATTTTGTAAGTTATTCTCACCCCACCATTTTCACATGCAGCTGAAAAGTTTATTTACCTCAAGGGAGGAAGGATGGATGGAAGGAAAGAAAGGGAAGGGAAGGAGGGAGAGAGAGAGAGACAGAGAGAGAAAGAAAAGAAAAGAAAAGAAAAGAAAAGAAAGAAAGAAAGAAAGAAAGAAAGAAAGAAAGAAAGAAAGAAAGAAAGAAAGAAAGAAAAAGAAAGAAAGGGTATGAATATAATATCAATCCCTTTGGTCCTCCAAGCCATATTGTATTACCTTTCCAGTTTTTTTTCTCCTTTATTGGTTCTAGTGTGAACACATCTTAGTGAATATTATCATGCTGCAGCTAAAACATACTTGCCGTTGATTAATTATATGCCACTAAATCATTTTCAACTCCTAGCAACCGTTTTGAGCATTTACAAAATTCCCCCCAGCCATTTGGATAGCTTTCAGTGATTATTGTGTGCCCTCTGTAATAAATTGTTATTTATATTCAGCTTTTAGTTAAGTAATAGAGGATTGTACCAAGTAACAAAGTTGGAGACCATAATAAATCAGATTGATTATGTTCCCTTGGTGCACCCATGAAAGCGTCTGTTACATTTAAAACTGGTATTTGCTGTAGAGAAATATCCAGTCCCCAGGGAATGGTGCTGAATCTTTTCTCTCTCTCTCTTTTAGTTTACCTTTTATTACCCTCTAATTAATGGAGTTGGAAATAAATTAATGAAACTCCTAGTAAGATAGTTAATCATCTTCTCCATGTTTTAATGTATTTCATGTGCTTCGGTAAATCATATCTGAGCTGTCTTTTTGCAGTGTTTGTTTTGCTCTTTCACTGCTGTCTTTCACCCTCTTTGTCTTTGGAGTCACTTTGGATAGCAAGATAAGCAGTATATAAATTTAATAATAATAATAATAATAATAATAATAATAATAATAATAATAATAATAATAATAATAATAATCAATCAATCAATCAAATAAAATCTTTCCCCATTCTTTTAGATTGTATTAGTAATTAGAGGAGAGAACCCAGGGAAGTAGTACAGGCAATTCTCAACTTAAAACCATTTATTTAGTGCATTCAAAATTACAACACACTGAAAAAAATGATTTACGACCATTTTTCACACATATGATGCAGCATCCCCATGATCATGCCATCAAAATTCAGATGCTTAGCAAATGGCATGCATTTATGATGGTTGCAATATTCCGGGATCATGTGATCATCGTTTGTAACTTTCTGACAAGCAACGTCAATGCCGAAGCCAGATTCATTTAACAGTCATGTCACTAATGGAACACCTGCATTGGTTCACTTATCAGCTCAGTCAAGAAAAGTCATAAAACGTGGCAAAATTCACTTAACAAATGTCTTGCTTAGCAATGGAAATTTTGGGCTCAACTGCATTCATAAGTCAAGGACTACCTGTATTGGAAACAATGCCAGGCATATATTTTCTCATTACTTAGAGAAATCCAATGGTAGTTGAAGAACTCTTTCAACTCAATGGATGGGATTGTAGTTGTACAGGATACGTCTATATTTTTTGCTTCTTTTTCTTTGATATTTCTTTGAAATATGCAGAACAGAGATAGCATATGGAACTCTAACAAAGGACAATTTGGATTTCTTTGCAATTTCATCCATCAGTCTGCTTTGATTTGGATCATAAAACAAGGGTTGTAGTGTTTCACTTGTGATTTCACTAGCTGATATACAATGATCTAAGTACATAATACCTTATTCATGAGTTTTTTCTAATAAAAAAATACACACAAACAAGATAAAGGAAAGAAGGACTCATAGATAAATCAAGCCTGACGTGTGATGTCACAACACATATGCAAAAGGGATGGAGTTTGCAGTGCAACAATAAGACACTACTTTCATAATTTTAATCTCCTTTAGCTTCTCACATGCAGACACCTCTAGCTGATAAACATGTACAGGCCATTCAGAAGGACACACCTATAGAGAAACTTACAAGTAACTGTGAAATAAATATGAGGCTTTATTGAAAGATTAATATTTAAGGAGACACTCTCCTTCCCCGTTGTTTTCTGAAAATAGCCTTACATACACTTAGTTTTTATAACTGAACCAATTTGATAAGCAGAAAAGAATCCTTACCTAACCAATAATCACTTTTAACTTTTTGGTTTCTCCTTTTTTTAGATTGCATCCCAGCGAATAAGCTCAGTGGATCTCTCATGCTGCAGCCTCGAGGATATGCCTGCCAATCTTTTTTATAGCCAGGACCTCACTCATCTCAATTTGAAGCAAAATTTCCTAAGGCTGAACCCTAGCTCATCAGTGGTCAGAGGACTTGATGACCTGCAAAGGTAAAACAGCTTTTTACTCTATTTCGTTTCCCTTGGGGGAAAAATAATTGCAGTTGCTTTAAATTATCTTTAAACCAGGCCTTAAAAGTTTCTAGCTGTATTAAGTATCTGTGTTTAACCTGAACCTTAAGTGCGTGTGCCCAGAGTGATTTTCAAGAGCCCAACCCATTTTACATAACTTGATGGTATCGTGGGAACTGACTGTTGCAACAATATTTTACAGTGGGTGAATTGGTGGGAAGAACACATTGTTAAAAATGAGTAGAGGCTAAAGAGAAAACCACAACGTTCCATTGACCATGTTCAACCGAATTATACTTGCAAAACAAAATGACAAATGGCCCACGGATTTTGCCACTCCGCTTGTCTGCATATGCTTTTATTGCTCATTTGTATTGTGTTGATTTCTTGCAAAAGATAGATAACCAACTCTTTTTCCATTTGGAATCTTTACTTTCTTTTAGGGTCTCTGTTAAAGACTTTTAAGCTATTCAAATGGTTGCTTGCAAGCCTGAATGCTAGTTGGGATCTTGATTGAAGTAGTATGCCTGCCTCTACTTTACACAGTCTGTGTAGTGTCTATTCCTTCTTTACTGTATCCAAATAGCTGCCTCTAAAAACTATTTGCATTTTTTGTGATGCAATTTGAAAAGAGTTTGCTATAGAGGAGAACGTTAGTTGGATTTAATTATGTTTCTGATCACTTCAAGTGGATTTGCCAGGAAAGTACACTTCAGACTAGAAAGGAGGATTAAAGCTTCTTCCTGTCCCAGGGAAGAAAAAAACTTCCTTTTAGTTCCATGTACTGATTTTGGTTGACCGCACTTCAACTTTGTTACTGAATAATTCATTATAGCCACAGGACTCTCTAGTGGCAAGAACATACATAAAATGTAGGAATAAGATATAATAGTTAACAAACATAGTAACGCAGTTAGTGGTTTGTGCCTTGTCATTTAAATTGTCTCTGAGTTTCTTTCCAACTTGAGTAGGGTGAGATTGTTACAACCAGGTTTCAGTGACCAGGACGGTTCTTTATAAATATGCCAGCTACCGTTTTTAGTTGGACACAACAGGAAAAGGGATACAGGTGGCCCTCAACTTACAAGCAGTTGGTTAATGACCCTTTGAAGTTACGGCTGACTCAAGAAAAGTTACAACCTGTTCTCAAAATTATGACTTGACATATCACCCTTGCGGTCACTTGATTGCATTCTGACTTGGAAACCAGTTCAGTTTGCAACTGATTGCAGCCTCCCATGATCCCATGATTGCGTTTTGCAACATTTCTTGCCATTTTCCAGGGGAAAAAACCCATTGAATAAGATAAATTCAGAGTAATGACCATGCGATTCGCTTAAACCATTGTAAACTCCCCCCCTCCCCCCAAAAAAACCTTGGTAAAATTGAGTCAGGTCATGTGGTGATTCAACTTATGACTGCAACAGCTTATGACTAAAATTCCAGTCTCAATTGTAGTCATAAGCCGAGGCCTATCAGTGTACCATGGAAGTACTGTATTCTTAGGGAAGGTCAGTGTAGTAGTTCAAATACCATACAGTGTAATCTAAAGCTGTAAATATAGACACAAAGCCATCTGGTTGCTTCATATGGCTAGACGTACAGAAAGGCATTCTGTAATCCATCTACTAATATATCCCTAACTATCCTGTTCTGTAGACAGCCTTTCTTCTCTTTAGAGTTCTTTTGAGGTATATCCTGGGAGCCCTGCAGACGTCTTAAGTTATGTCAAACATCTGTTAATGGAGGCTGACATTAATTCAGGAACACCAAGCATGGTATAGAGGACATTTCCGCAGAACATCTGCAGTGGTCTCAATTCTGCACCTGTGATATTGAGTTTATATTCTGGCCTTTCTGGAGATCTTGAGTCAAAACATTGCTTTATATCTCAGTCCGTGCTCTATAATCCTAATAGAAAATAAGGATAAAAAAGACATCCCTGGTCCCTCTATAAAGAAGAAAGTAAGTGTAAATCATGTGCTTCTTTACTAAGTGAATACTTTAGTAAAGTTTCTATGAAAGTCATAAAAAATTGCATTGTTGCATTTTTTTGGGTGGCTTTGATACATACATAATCACAAATTGGCCAAATTACCTTCCTGTAGCTTGTTATAATTTTTATGTTGATATTTGGCCTGTGACTTTACAGCAAACAAATATAAATAAATGCTCTAATATTGCTATAAAGGAGGCTTGTTTGAAAAACATTTTGTCCCAGTCAGTACTTTATTAATAATGTCATCCTGCATAAGACAGCTGTACCCTGGTCTAGATGCAGGATAAAGAATCCTTGCTTTCAAAAGATTTAAATAGGATATATAATTCTTTATAATATTATATATATAATATCTACTAAAACATTTCTCTCTCTCTCTCCCTCCCTCCCTCTCTCTTGCCTTCAAAAGATTTAAATAGGATATATAATTATTTATAATATTATATATGTAATATCTATGAAAACATCCC